GGGGGGGGTACATTTTAAAAATTCTTGTCGCCAAGGGGGGGGGGTACAGTTTTTTCTTTCGTGTTGGATCCATCATCGACCAAAGACAAAGTCCTGAAATGATTCGCAACGTTTGATGCGCTTGCTTGTTTTTCTAATGGCTTTTAGTAGCATTTCCACCGATGTCTTTCCTTTCCTTGGTGTTGATAACTGATAAACGATTGCATTATTTCCCTCTTGTCACTGTCTTGTGGCTTTGATAGAGATGTTTCACCTCTCTGGCTCGTATTTGTTCGATAGATCACCACTCTTACCTTAGGTTGTAATTTCGCTTCTTGTAGCCACTTTCTTCGCTGGCTATAATCTAATTGATGTACATCTGTGAGATTATTGGACAGTTTTACGAGATATCAGTTGCTCCACAATTCGGGATTGGGCAATCTTTTCATAAATTTTGAATCAAACAGTCTGTCATAGCGAATATGACTGGCACAATTGTGCTTTGAACGCGTGTATATGACAGGCCTCGAATCGTTTTGCAGTTTTGACGAGTTGAGTTTAGCAGCCCCTAGTTATTCCACATAAATTAAGACATACTTCGCGATCCTTTCGTTCTGTTTTGACAAGTTGATGTTTTAGCATGCCCTAATTCTTCCATATGAATTAAGACATTTCCCTCGCAATTTATTCATGAGCTATTTATTAAATTTTACGCCCTCCTTTTACTCCCCAAAAATTCGGCTGACTCTGCTAGGACATCACTACTAGTCAGTCTTTTCAGAAAGTCAGTGCAAGGAACAATTCGTCCAATTTGCCTTTTGTAAATTCCGTAAAAAATTGCACATTTTGAGCAGATACAGACCGCCTGAGGCACCTAGTAGACAATGTATATAGCTTCTCCTCACCTAGGGGTATTATTTGCAGATTTTGGTCTCACTGGGCCAGTAGATGCATCAGTTAGGGCCGAACGCAAAGAAACCAAACTAAGATGAAGACAGCATTTGTTGACATCATAGCTCTTATTTGCGGTTTCCTGTTCTTGTACTAATATATATATTTAGCCAGGGCTAAAAGCGAAGCTCTCGTTAATATATATATATAGTTTACTCAAACAAAATATAAAATGTAAAATAGTGTAATGCTAAGCGGCGAAGGCAACCAAAAAAACAGCCAAAACAAATCAGGAGGTCTAATTAGCCAAAGAAACTTTGCACCTAATAATAATGATAATAATAATGACTTTATTTAACGAGAGTAACACTAAATAGCCCAAGGCTAATAAACTTGTGGCCCTCAAAACACAATCCTACAAATATATAATATCTATACTAATGAAAACACTAAACAACTATTTACAGTGTCTAGGTATAAAAAGATTATAGAATAGATGTTAAAAAAAATCACCGCATTATTGTTAGGGTATTGTGATTAATATTTATTCAGTTTATTCCGTTTATTTCAGTGTTGGAAATTTTAACTTTATTCAGGGATATATGATATATAAATAACTTTGTTTTAGGTCGGTTCGGAAGTCAAAAGTTCCACCATATCTCAAATATCTTTTGTTAAGGGACAAAGGATGGTGTTTACAAGCTGTCAGAACAGCTGGACACACTTTAGTTTTTACTAGCAAACCTTTGCTGGTCAGTTACGTCCTCTGCTAAAAGATTTTTGCACCGACTTCTTTGGTGTTGGGATCAATGAAAAGTAGAAGTTGGACGCACGGTTAAGCGTATTTTAAGTCTTTCACGATTAAAGGTTTAACAGAGGTTAAGAAACACCTCCTCAAGCTTATTTAAGAATCACAGATACAAGTTCGAAAGATAGAAATAATTACTTCCCTCGGTAGATGTATTCAGCTGTGGAATGGGAAAATAAGGGTTTTCTGCTAACGAAGTTTGTTTATTTAAACCTGAAGTTAGTTCTCACTTTCGCTTCCAAACTTGAATCATAATCAGATTTTCATATCTCATTAAAATCTTGTTGGAGCCACGCGACCTAAAACCTTTTTAGTCCTTTGTTCTCAGTTGTGCTATTTTCAGCTAAAATTCACTTACTTTCTTACTTTCAAACTAAAATTTCTTTCGACAGAATCTTAGGAAAATTTGCTTTCTTTCAAACCATCGTTTTACCTTCTTGTATAGGAATTTGGCTATAGAGATATTTTCAGTTTTGCAAATTTTTTCCACACGCAGCTGAATTCAATTTAATTCAGTATCTTTTGTTTTATCAGTTGTACCACCTCCTAACACCTCTTTTTAAGCGTAAGAATAATATTGACCTTTCTTAGAAACTACTTAACTTAAAAAAGCTTGAAAAATCTTGCAACCTAGAAGAACTAAGAAGCTCAGGAATAAACTGTTGTTCAACTCAACGTCCTGTGTACCTTGACTCTCTCAAAATCTGTACCCCTACATTATAGTACAGTAAAAACCCGCGAGTAAGAACCTACATTTTCTGGGGTTATAGGCAGTTTGTTAGCGCTGGCCCAGGCTTGAATTTCTCTGACAGATTTATTTAGTGACAGGTCTAGATGGGCCAAGTTTTTTACATCTGCTGAAGCCGACACAGTCGCATCATCTGCGTAAAGATCTATAGCTGCACTAACATGTAAGGGCAAATCGTTAATGAACAGGATAAAGAACAGCGGTCCAATAATACTCCCTTGCGGGACCAAATGCCTTAACATCGCCTCACCCGACTCCTTTCCTCGTACATGAACCACTTGTTTTCTGCTGCATAGATATGAGCGACACTAATTGACCACTCCAGAAATACCGTAACATACTATGATGCTCTTTGTTTGAAACCCCGAAAATTTGCATAAGCATTGTCTTCGGTTTCTCTTGGGAGTTAAAATGGCTCCAAGAGAAACTGAAAACAATGCTTATGCAAAATTTTGGGGTGACAAACAAGGAGCATTATGGTATGTTATGGTATTTTCTGGAGTGGTCAATTGAGCTTCTGGTTAGCAACGCCATACACATTTAATTTTCTTAACAAAAGTTCGTGATCAACCATGTCGAACGCCCTTCGATAATAGACTACAGTCGACTCCCGATAATTCGTCGAGCCAACGTGTAAGGTTCTTTTTATTATATGGAGAAACCAATTCAACAAAAGCAAAGGCGGGAATCGTGACGTCATTGAACGATACGAGACTCACAAAGGTGACATACGGAAAATACGCCACCCGGGTCCCGGATGAAGTGGCGTATGGAATCTACGAGTGGTTTAGTTCCCAGTAAAACACTCTCCTCCATATAATAAAAAAGTCTATTCGAACTGCATTCAAACTTCACCGATCGTATTCAGTTTCTTTTAATTCGGCAAATGTTGGCGAAAATTTCTTTGGGATCGAATCTATCGTTATCTAAGTTTAGAATAAAGAAATTAAGCGGGCTCGTGAAATTAGGAAGTTTCATGTCATAGTGGTGCAACGACGGCAAAGAAATGTACAAAATAGCGTGATGCACGTGTGAAGTTGTTGTTTGTTAATATAAACATATTATTTTTTACCGTTCTCCTTGCCGTCGTCGTCGTCGTTGGTTTTGTTGTCATTCAGAAAAAGGGCTACCATGGTAACATGACGTTCACACTTCTCTCTATTCACAATGTAGATAAAAAACACATTTGTGTTAAAAGTTTGACTGAGATTACCCTAAATGATCGATTAAGCGCCGCTCTCGAATAAGCGCTGCCTTTTTACCAAAAATAATTTAATAAGAGTCGCTCTCGATTAAGCGCCGCGGTGCTAATTTGAATATTAACTAACCTGAGATCAGGCCCAATTTGAGCGGTTCTCATACATTCTCTCTAACGGCTACCGCTAAGAAACTAAGGCGCCACCTTTGTTACGGCGCTTGACATCACTTGGCAAGTACTTCATGGCTGAATGCTATATACGCGACAGTCAGCCATGAAGTACTTGCCCATCGCTTGAGAAATGAGACCTCGACTCGACCAACTCGTGAGTTCTAAAGTTGTATTGTAGTAAACGAGGTGTGCATATTTTTTTACTAAAATGTGTACCGAGTGCGCGCCTCACTTAATTGTCTCTGTATTCCCCTCAGTGTTTTACCGAAAGCTGAAATAAGCGCCGCTCCTATTAGGCAGGGAAAATTTAATAAGCGCCCCGGCGCTTAACCCGGCTCTTAAAGCGCTTAATCGAGGGGCGCCTGATAGCGCGGGCACTGGAAACGACTCAATGAGGAGCAAAATGGCTTCCAAGAAGCGAAAGTTAGAGGAGGACCGATTGGAAATTTTTCCCGATCAAACTGAAAAGAGAGAATCCAGAGAGATGCTCATTTATATCATCCCTAAAAAGATTCCAAAAGCAAGGCTCCAGGTGTTGAACAATCTTGCGCAAAGGAAGGGATTTCCAATAACAGAGAAGTTCAGGTAAAATTTGCAAATAAGGTTAGTATCTCATAAGCTTACAATGTTGATCAGTCAAAACTTACACTATTAACGGCTGTATGATATCTTTCGATAAGCCACTGCTTAAGCTACGCGAAAAGGGCTCGAAGTTTGGAGATCGTGCTTCAACAAACAGGATCGGTACCAGCTAGCTGCCCCGGGGAGCTGAGGGGCAGGAGGGGTAAGGGTAAGGGGCACATAGGTAATTGATACAGGGATCATTATATGAGAAAAAAAATTCAATTGTAGATGCTGGCCACTCTTAAAGTACGCATAATATGAATACCCTATACTAGATCAGACAGCACATGAGCTGCAACATTTCCCTGTGATAGTTTGTTTACTAAACTATTTGTAAGTTTTCATGTGTATGATACTCCATTCTAGGTAACATGGTGAGTCCTAAAAACACAAAGCACATCACCATTTAATTATTTGGGAGAGTACTCTTACTTCCCTTGCTGGCCCCCTCCCCCTTCCACCCCCAGTGAGCATGGATCACATGGGCATAGAAAACTTCCCCTTTTATTATATCCCTTTTTTGATTATTTCATCACTGGATAAGTGGCATTTTTTATTTCTTCGTAGCAACTTGGTGACTCATGTTGTGACAAGTTATGATTCCAGGGAGAAGGCTTTCTCTGCATTAGAATGGTATGAAATGAATTAACCTCCTTAGGATAAAGTTTTATGCAGTATTGTTCATGTTAAAAATTGTGAAATCACCAATGGGCAACACATACGACTGACAAGTAACCAAATGAATTACCCATCAGGGTTCTCATTAAGTTTTAGAGTAGACAGCTATGATGTAAAAGTAGGCGGCTTAGTAATCGAGTGCTGTGCAAGTGCTGTAGGCATGTTGAGGTTTTCACTAACCTCACTTTACCCTTTATTGACCTTTATTCCCCAAAAGTAGATGGGTAGAATTCAGTGTAACCTGTGTTTTAGCTGGTTGGCAGCACTAACCAATGAGAACCTTGCCTAGACAATGTTATAATACTTAGCCAACAAGAAAACAAACAGATTAGTTTCTGGTTATAATATGGTGGAATGACAAACTTTATGCTTGTATATTTTCATCCCCAATTTGCCCCACATTCTTTTATTGACAGTCCAAATCATTGAGATTTTCAAGTCCTTGATGAATTTATGTGTTGAGGGAGCAAGTGGTCATTTGTTCCTGGTACTGTTTGAAAAATAGAACTGTTGAATGGTCTTGTCACTATTTATCGGCAGTAGAATTAAGCAGGCTTATCTATTTTCACCAGGCAACCTGCAGAAAATGTAGAAATACTTACAGTCGATTGTGAGTACTCTATTTTGTACTGTTCTTAATATAAACTATAACTATTTTATTTAATATTGTTTCATCATTGTTTAAGCCTGCATTGGAGGCTTTTCATTGGGTGCATGATTTTTTGTTCTCAAAATCACCATGTCAAAACTGCCGTATTGAATATTCAAAAAAGCAGAGATGTTGAGGCAAGTCAAGGAAAAGGGGAAGGGGTGGGAAGAGAGAAGTCTCCATCCGTACCTGCATCCCCTTCTTTCACCCTACCAACTACCCCAAGGGATGATATTTCTACTCTCTCTAATCTTCCTCAGTCATAAAATCAAAGATGGCGGCCAGTGCATTACGAACATAAACAAGTAACTTTCACTCACCCAAAAATATGCCTGCAATGCAGGATATCATTGTTTCTCTAGTTGTGTGTGTGATATAATGTAGTATATAATGTATTATGTAGTAAATATTACTTAACATGGATAAATAGAGGCAGTGTATGAAAGGTTATGGGTAAACCTTAAAGTTGAACCTCGCTTGAAACTTTGACGTTCACTCATGACCTTTCATACATTGCCTCTGTTTCAGTAACACACATAAAAGTTTGCGAAGCAGCAAAAATCCACCTTTACAAATACTGGGGGGAAATCCAAGGGGGCGGGTTCCTAGGATGCCCTTGCACCACCCTTCTTACTTCAGATACCCATTCTTCAACACAGATGTAAAACTACTTTCAGGTGCCAACTGCCTAGTTTCCCCCTCACCTTTTTCCATCGAGGTCATAAAATCCTTTTTATGCCCTTCTGAAAAGGCTTAACTCAATGGTATTTATTATTGCTTTTTGTGCAATTCACCAGGGCTGACTGACTGCACAACAGCAGGAAAAATAGTGGATGTTACCGATAAAGTTAGAGTACAGGGATCTACCACAGCTACATCAAAAGAAGAAACTTTAAGGTAAAGGATGAAGGGAAAGATAAATTATACAAGTTTGAAACCTTTAAAAAGTCATTGATCTTTAACATTATTGTTTCACTTTGTTTTTATAACTTACAATAATATTAAAGAGCAGATTTGGAAAACAAGGATGCAAGCAAAGATGGTGAATCTTGTGCGTATCAGGTGAGGAATTTGTAAGTAAAAATGTATTTATTGTCGTTAAATTCATTGACAAAGTACAATTAGTTAACTAACAGTGGTTGTTTTATAATTTAATTTTTGTATTTTTTTGCATTTGAATCTCAGTTGTATACACAGTTATGCATAATGTGCAGATATGTATATTAAGAGTAATTAAAATCAAGTGATTGCCGTTAACAATGATTACAATTTTTTCTAGTTATTTAAATGTGGATCCCTTTTTGTAAACTTTTTGCTTTTTAGGACACAAAGTTTGTGTGCCAAAGAGGAACACCACTAAATCACCACAATACCAAGTTCACTGTAAGTTATATAATTTAAGAGATCAATAATTATGATAAAGTAATATGTAATGGTAATAGGACTGAGTGGAGTCCAATTCGGTCTGTAATCATACGAGTGATTAACAAAATCGGACGACCGCGTAGCGGAAGTCCGATTTGTTTAATCACGAGTATGATTACAGACCGAATTGGACGACACGAAGTTCTGTTATCAATTAATCATAACTTTAACAAAATTTGTGATATATTAGGCTCTTTTTTTAATCAAAACGCAAGAGATGTTTTTGCTAACAGTGAAAAAAAAAAAAACATTTAAGCGCGCGTGTGATGGCGCGTACTGTCCAATTACTTAGGCATGATACCTACTGTCCTATTTAACTGTCCTATTAAGGCTGAAATCAGGGCAGTTGATAGCCAATCAGATTTAAGAATTTTGTTATAGTTATGATTAAAGATATAATATTATATGATAGAATAAAATTTCCAATTGAATAATCTGGCTTAACCAAAGTTTTTAATTTTCTTGTCAAGGATGCACTTGAAATTCTGGAACACCATGCCGTGTATGTTGACAGTGGACAGAGAGATTCTAGAGCACTTGCCTTCAGAAGAGCGGCTTGTGCACTCAAGTCTTATCCAAAGTATGTTACTCAATTATTTACAAATAGTATAGATCCTTTTATTCAAGTAATTCAGCTGTTTCTAAAGCAAAAAGGGAGCTATAAGTTGTTGGGTGGAAGCGTGCCAACTAAATGTTACAGATATAATGCCATCTGCAAAATAACAGCAGTTTTTTTGAAGTTATTAATATTTAGGGTCAATCCTTATGGTGCATTCAAACCAGAATTAGATGTCTTTGAGGCTTTTGGTATGCCTTGTGTCAAGCCATCCTATTTCTTTGCATCCAGTTGTAATCCATTTATCTTATCCGATTCAGTCCATGTGGTGCTGAAGGTCTATTTATATCCCCAGGTTAGGGTGCAGAGAAGTGACAACAGGCTTGCAGAAAAAGAAAAACGAAAAAAATTTTTTGGCAACAAAGAAAATAGTAAATTGAACTTTCAAGGTATATATAATTTTGGGAGAGTCAGTTTTATTGTCAGCTCTGTTTCAGGCAGATCAGTAGAATTGAAGAAGCAGCAAACCTGAGCAGTGTAGGAAATCATAGTAAAAAAGTCATTCAGGCAAGTGGGTTAGTGTGCTTAAATCATATATATATGGCTGTACAAATGATTAATTTTCCTGAACTTAGTCTTTCTCTGGTTTTCCCTTTTTCTTTCTCAGAATTAATGGAATCAGGCTTGTAATATTGTCAAACATTTTATTTTGCTCTTATCAAAACAGGATATTCTAGAAAATGGGTCATCTTTAGAAGTTCAAGACATCCTATCCAGTGACTTCTTTAAGTCGATGGAGGTTTGTTTTCAGATATTTCCATTAATCCTGGGCAGAGCTTGCCTTAATTAATTGTGGATAAATAGGCCAGACAGTCATTTTTCCAGCTAGACAGTTGGGATTCATTCAGATACTAAGGTCATGCCATAAATTAGTTGGTGACTAAATCATCCACACAGTTTGTTATCATCAAAATCTTGCCAGTAGGATCATAAAGTTTCAACATCTTCCTAGCAACAACATCAGATTGCAATGTCAGCATCTTGTCAGCAAGATCTTGAAGTTTCAACATCTTGCCATTTAAGTTTATCATCTTGTTATTAAATGAACCTATGTTATAATTTCTGAACACTAGTTGTTTATTAAGTGGGCCTGTGCTGCATCAATAATTCACTTGACCAAATTAAGGCAGTAAATTTTTGAGTGGCAAAATCATTATATCATTGAACAAAGAGCTTATATTAATTAGCGGATTCTGAAAAATATTCTGCTTTTAGATATTCTCATCTATATATGGATGTGGACCTGCTACAGCTCGAAAGTGGTACGAGAAAGGTCATCGAAACATGTTTGACATCATTGAAGCTGTGAAAAATGGAATGAAACTCACAGAACAGCAGACAATGGGTAAAGTATTTTTAGTAATGCAGGATTGTGTTGATTTTGTCGAGTTTGTTGCTGCAGTGTTTTGTTACTCTTATCCCAGCTAATGTGGTGTCAACGGTGGCAACATGCTTTTGCTTTCACTTTTGATGCTTGATTAAAGTACAGATTAATGTTATTTTATAGGTTTAAAGTATTATGATGATTTAATTCAACCTGTTCCAAGAGAAGAAGCCATTTGTATTAAAAACATTGTGGCAAGAGAGGTCAGTTAAACATCATCTTCAACATATGATTTCATGACACCATATTTGGGATAGAGAATGGTCCCTCCAAAAATGTGGGTCAAGGAATATTAGCCCGATCTTGAAACCTCAGAGGCGTTTGTTGATAGGTGCAAAGTCTCATTCTTGGGTGATTTTGCATCTCAGAGTCTTGGTCATTAATTTTGAAACTGGGGTCTGGCAAAACTCAAATTTACTGTTCTAGATCCCTATATTTGACTGTCACTATGTTATCACAACATCACCTGCATGATGGAAAGTAATACTTTTTTATAAGACTATTTAAAAGGCTCATTATTATTAATTTTTCATTTCATAGTTAAACAGTATCCAGCCAAACTGCACAGTGGAACTAGTTGGAGGGTACCGCAGGTGACCATACAAAATGTACATGTTTCTTTCACTCAGTTCTTTCATAAAAAGTGTATAATTTGACTTATACAGCAAATAGTCAACAAATAGATTAGTTTTGAACTTTTTGACCTCATTTCTAAGACCTGTAAGAGTTTAGACAATGGAAAATTGTCTTTTTATTGTAACTATTATAACATTAAAAGCTTTGGACATCCATATTTCTGCCAAAGTTAATTCTTCAAAAATCACATGCAAAAGACAAGAAAAAATTGTGCCATTTTTTGTAACACTATTTCCATGGACAATTAGACAATGACTCTCAACCAGTGAGTATGTGAAATGTTGCCCAGTTGTTTTAAAATAAATCGTCTTTAAGCTCAGCAATAGTTTGTTTCTGTCCCAATCTTTTCTAGAGGTAAACCATCAGGACACGATGTGGACATTTTGATTACCCATAAAGATGTCCACCGAGTTGAAGGATTGCTAGTAAAGCTTGTTGAAAGGCTTGATAAGCTGGTAAGGAGATAAAGAAACAATAAATCAAAGCCAAATTAGAGGGATTCAAAGGTTTTTTACAGCTAAAACACTTTTTGAGCATTTGTTTGTTAACAAAATAAATGGTTTTTTTTCCTTTTTAGGGTCACATGGTTCACAAGGACTTAATGGCTGGTCGGAATTCAGCTCTTGGTGGAAGCCAAAAGTATGTTGCAACAAATAAAGACTTCAATTTGAAAGCCTTGACAAGATATCCTCCCACCTAATGGGATAGTGACATCAACATGACATAACTACATTATCAAGCAAATTAGAAATGGATTTCAATATTGTTTGGTAATGTAACCATTGTGCTTCAACAGTTACTAACTGTATTACTAACAACTTAATTACTAACAACTTTTTGGTGCTCTACTGGTCAGCATATTTGTTTTTCCTTACTTTGTTTTGAGGATTGTAAAAGAGAGATATTAAAAAGTGACCAATGTTAAAAAAACCCAGAGACCCATGTACATCGAGACAAAACAATATAAACTCTGTAAGGGGAAGTTGGGGGCGGGGGCGGTGGGGTTCTTAATGGCCAAAAATTTATTAAAGAAAAGTATCATCAAGGCCTTATTGATAGCAGTGCTAAATGCGTCCGAATGGGCTACGTAACCCTGATACGAATAAATATTAAGGTCTCTCTCTCTTATGAAGCATAACTTAGTTTATTTTTCTGTCAGTAAGTTAAATTATCCATTTTATTTGGGAAAAGTAATAATTTTAACTTTTTTCTGCATTGCTATCCCCTCCAGACTAATCTACGTAAAATGCTGAAACAAAATGTGTGCAATGTATAAATATATAATATACAAACTTATTGTTGTCCCCTGAATGGCCAGGAGTGTTTAAAAGGAAGAAAATCACATTAATGGGCTTGGTCAGTGATATTTTCTATCTTTTCTTTTTACACACGGTGGGCCACATGGATAATCTTGACCACTGCTTCTGTATGTTTCAACTGACAACAACGGCATTGGCATCATCAGAGAGTGATTCACCAACAGGTTCAACAAGAAATGGAGGGTCGCACACTGATGAGTTCCAAGAGGGAAGGGGTGGAAGAGCAGTTAGAAGAGTTGACCTGATTGTGACTCCACCCAGTCAATTCCCATTTTCTTTGCTAGGATGGACAGGTTCTAAGGTGTGTACACCAGCTTCTGTCAATAATAAACTGTTATGCCACCCTTAAAGTGGTCTCTCCTTTCAAAAACTTGAGGCACCAAATTGACTTATTGTCTGATCAATTTTTGCGTTAACATCTGTGGTTATTTTTCAACAATTTTTAGGACTTGTATTAGTGATGTAATTTATGATGGATGATGTTACTGTCAATAATTATGCACCAGTTTTTCTTGTCTAGCAATTTAACCGCTCAATAAGGGACTATGCCTGGAAAATATTGAAAATCAAGTTATCGAACCATGGAATGTGGGATCATAACCAAGTGGTAAGTTCTTGTATTCTTAAGAACAGGGGATCATAGATGTCACTATGCTGCACTACCAATAATCATATTCTTTTGACTATACATGTACAAGTCCATAGAGAAGAGTCAGATGCTTCCTTTTTTAGGCTTCAAAGTACTTTGAACAATTCCTGCCAACAAGTGGGGAAAATATAGGATGAAAACAACTGAAGCAGATCTTACTCCCTAATAAATTTTATTTAGTTGTTTTAATTACGTGAATAATTTAACTGACTCACTCTGACAAAGGGCTAGTGCTGTAAATTTCAGCCTCTGAATTTTCTCACAGTGGCCAATGTATTTTATCAACCAAACTTGTTTTTTACTTTCCCACAATAGCATGTAGAACAGGTGTTTTTGGGAGGGGTTTTTCAGGTGAGCAAATGTAAGCGTGAAGCAGGTGTGGAGCATGAAACAATAGCCTTCCCCCATTTCAGGTCTGGTGCTTCACGCATGCTTTATGTTGGCCTTGATCATTTGCCCCTGCATGGCAGGTGCCAGTTAGTTTTACAGTTTGTTGTATGCGTGCATCCTCAAAATTTCTCCCTTAGCTCTGAAAATTCTGGCAACCATGTTTATGCGAAAAAACATGAAAAATTGTAGGCTAGCCCACCAAGGCAGCCCTACAGTTTCCTTAGAAGCAAACGCCCTTACGTATAATATGGCTTCTCTTCTTTGCAGCCTCCATGCCTCCTTGAAGCAAAGTCAGAAGAAGAGATATTTGCCATGCTGAAACTTGAATACAGACAACCAGAGGACAGGAATGCATAAAGTTATGATTCATTTATTTCACCAATCAATCAATTATCAATCTTATTTCGTCACATCTTTGTAATTATACAGCAATGTTTTTCTGTCATTGCATTACACAAACACCATACATTTTACTCACACTTGTATGGTTGAAAGGCACAAACTATGACAGTATCTCACTTAAACTTCAGAGTCACTTTCTCTATTCTTTAATATACGTAAAACGAACTGCGACCTCCGAATAAATTTCTTTGCCGGAAGTTTTGCTCAATATTATTTTTCAGATCGTAAATAAAACTGAAAAATTACAAAATTTACCACCTGCGAAATTTTCCTACAAATGGAGAACTACTTGTATTGAGGAAGAATGGCGCTAACAAAAATAACCCAGCTGCTTGAAAAATGACAAAATAATTTATTAAAGCCACTTCACTGTGATTAATTTACATCCAAGACTGAATTTGGCTGGTTAATCACATACAAATGACTTTACAAAAATATAAT